ATATAGGAATCCATTTCTATAACAACACAGACATGTGATCATATGGCTTACACATGAACATAAATCTAATAACTCAGTTCACTGCCTCATGGGGTAGCCAATCCCACCATTAAGAGATTTTAGATTATCCTTCCCCTTTTACTTGGACAATTGGTCATCTGTTAGAAATATCTGTTTTTAGTAACAGGACCCTAAACCATCTTCCTGAGAGATCTTAGCTTTGGCCTACAGAATTAGCAAGGAAAATTTCTAATATCTAACATCTATACTTGCCCTCTCCTTTCTTCTCCAGATGAAACATCTCCTAACCCTTTAATAACTTCTAAATTCTTCATTAGCTCAGTTGCTCTCTCTGAACACTGCAGTTAGTCAAAATTCTACATAAAATAGGACACACTGATCCTAACTCAATACCAGCTTAGTAGAAACATTATATCTGGGGGCTATACGCTTAATAATGTACTGTAAATTTACCCTAGCTTTTTTTGGCCATGACTTCACATTGTCATTGTTAGCCCATAAGATTAATGTTAATCTAACACTGTCCTTAAATCCTTTTCACTTAAACTTAAGCCAAGGCTTCCTCCAACCTATACTAGTGCGGTTCAGCCACACTGCAGAGTTTTGTTTGAAAACAAAGTTTTAAGTTAAAGCTAGAGATAGAGCCCTTTGGTGCATCACCCGAGATCTCAGGAGAGGTTGATACTGATATATTAGATTGCTCTATTAGTTACAAATTCATTCCAACCATCCTCAGTATCAAATCACATTTCATCTTATCCATGATTTCATACCAGTATAGTCAAATGCCTTATTAAAATTCAAAAATAAGCCATCTACAATTTCAGAGTCAGAGAGGCTTGTGTTTCAACCCAAACCCAAGCACTTTCATTATATGAACTGCGGAAAACAAGTTTAACCTTTCCAAGATTTCATTAAAGATGATACCCATTTTGCAGAGTATCACATGCAATGAGGATTAAATATACCATCATATAAAAGCAACTCACATATAATAGGCACTCAAATGATAGTTACTATTAACAACTTCAGAATTTAAATAATTTCAGGTTGATAACTGTCCTTAAAAAAAATGGAGATGTACATTAGGCTCAACTTGTTCTAGAGATTCTTCCTAGTGATAACTACAAAATCATTTTATTTTCTAAAATGTTCATAAATCACTTACTTAATAATCAATTCCTTTTTAAGTGTTCCAGAAATTGTATTTAAGCAAAGTTATCAATTAAGACAAGCAGGTAAACAAAGTTTTGAAAAAAGTCAAAAACAGAGAAAAGAAGCAACTGTGAACAAAAGAATGGGGATTTCAGGTAATGTTCACTAGATAAACAATGCAGTATAAACTATATTCCAGGCTCTATTCCTGTATTTTTAAAGGCTATGAAGCTATATTCCACCATATACTCCCATATGGAATATTGACAATGTGAACCATGCAAAGTCTGAAACAAATAAAGATAACTTGAGAATTAACTATACACACTACTATATATTAAATAACCAACAAAGACCTACTGTATAGCACAGTGAACTATACTCAATATTTTGTAATAACCTATAAAGGAAAAGAATCTGAAAAAGAATATATGCACACACACACACACATAACTGAACCACTGTGCTGTACACCTGAAACTAACACGACATTGTAAATCAACTGTACTTAAATTTTTTAAAAAAGCTAACTATATGGTTGAAATAGACTATGGACAATTTTGAATACTGGTCAAGATATACAACACAGTTCAACCACCATTACATTCACTTTACCAGATAATTTTTAAATCACTTTAATTTCTGATTACATTTAGCCCAATTACCATAACTGTCAAAAGCCTGTGTTCAACAGCTGATATAAATATGCATGGATACAAATGGATAGTTACCTATTCAATTTGTACAAACTGGTATTATTCTACTTCTCAAGTATTTCAAATACCAAATGCCAAGCCAAATGAAAAAGCATGATTGTGTCATTTGCAGAGACACAGATGGACCTAGAGACTGTCATACAGAGTGAAGTCAGTCAGAAAGAGAAAAACAAATATCGTATATTAACACATATATGTGGTATCTAGAAAAATGGTATAGATGATCTTATTTGCAAAGCAGAAATAGAGACACAGAGGTAGAGAATAAACATATGCATACAAATGGGAAGGGCAGGGGGTGTGGGATGAATTGGAAGACTGAGATTGACATATACACACTATTGATACTATGTATAAAATAGATAACTAATGAGAACCTACTGTATAGCACAGGGAGTTCTACTCAATGCTCTGTGGTCACCTAAATGGGAAGGAAATCCAAAAAAGAGGGGATATATGTATATGTATAGCTGATTCACCTTGCTGTACAGCAGACACTAACACAACATTGTAAAGCAACTATACTCCAATAAAAATTTTAAAAAAAAACACTGGACAAAAAGAAAGAAAAAGCATGACTCTCACTGGACTGATAAGCAGGTATCAGTCTGCTTATATTATTATCAGATAATATTGGATATTTAAATATTTTAGAGCCGCACTTTCAAGACAAAGAAAGCTATTCAAAACTTAAATATCTTAAGTTTAAAACTTAAAGAAGGCTTACTTAAGGAAACAAGCCAAAAGAACTCAGTTTTCTGAATAACTGAATGCCTATTAACTCTACTGGCATTCACAAGTAGAACTACATCACACCACTTCAGGACCTGGCTTGGAACTCTGAGAATTCACTATCAGTGAAGTTGCATTTAATCCGTACTTTGTGCTTGAATTAACCAACTGTCAGTAAGGTTGCTGGTGGGAATGCAAAATAGTACAACCACTTTGGAAAACAGTTTGGCTGTTCCTTACAAACACACACCTACCATATGATACAGAAACCCTACAAATGAAAACATATTTCCACACAAAGATTTGTACACAAATGCTTGCAGCAGCTTTACTTATAATAGCCAAAAATTGGAAATAACCCAAATGCCCACTATAAATGGACCAATAATAGTGTATCCATACAATGGAATATTAGACAGCAAAAAAAGGAATGCATTACTAATCACACAACATGGCTAAATCTCAATAACATCACGCTCAGTGAAAGAAATCAGATATAAAAAGTATGATCCCACTTATATGAAATTCTAGAAAAGGCAAAACTATAATGACAGAAAGCAGATCAGCATTTGCCCAGAAGTGGGGGGAGGAATTTAACCACAAAGTGTCATGAAAGAACTTTTTGGGGTAAAACATTCTATAAAACAATTATGGTGATGGTTACAAACTATATAGGTTTGTGAAAACTCATGAATCTATATACTTAAAACTAGTAAATTTTAGCATAAATTATTTTTTAATCAGCTTTATTGTGGTATGTGTTTACAATCACAAGAATAAATTAGTGCTTGGTAACAGCCTAAACGCTATCCTCATAGCCAGTTTTATTATCCTCATAGCACTTATCACTATCTGAAATTATTTCTCTAAATATATGACTGTTTAAATATTGCTCCATACTCAAGCAGACCCTCAGTGAAAACGGAGACTTTATGTATTCTGCTCGTTGCTACATTTCTAACACCTAGAACTGTGGCTAGCACATGGAAGGTGTTCAATAAACATTTACTAAATAAATAAGTAAACGAAAAAGTAAGCTGGAATAACTAAAACCCACTGATGAAGAGGAACGTAAGTCAGGACTTTAAAAGATAGCAAGGATCTAAAGAAGCAAAGGAGAGAAGAGTATTCAACTGGGAACAATCAAAGGCAAAGGGAGCAAGACAGTAATGCATATCTGTCTAGGAGCCAGCAAAGCAAACATCTCTGACACGGGGAAAACGGAGACTTTCCCCACTTTGCACGTAAGTCCCAATGAGTTACGTCTTGGCTTTCCAATATGGTAGCCACTAGCTACATGAGGCTACTGAACACCAGAAATGTGGCTACCTAAATTAAGATATGTGTTAAGTATGAAATATATATGGAATTTTGAAGACTTTAGTACAAAAAAAATTTTATTATCTCATTAATACTTTCTATAGTGATCACATGTAGAAACTGTAACATCTGGAATATACTGGGTAAATAAAATACATTATTAATTTCCACAGAAAGTTATACACAAATGTTGAGAGAAGCATTATTCATAATAGCTAAAAAAAAGGAAACCTAAATGTCAATCAACTGATGAATGGATAAACAAAATTTGGTATATTCAGACACGGACTATTATATGTCCAAAAAAGGAATGAAGTACTGACAAGTTACAAGATGGATGAGCCTTGAAAACATTATATTAAGTGAAAGAAGCCAGACACCAAAGGCTACATATTGTATGATTCCATTTATATGTAATGTCCAGAAAAGGAAAATCCATAGCAACTAAAAGATTAGTGGTTTTGAGTTAAAACCACTAATTAATTAATGGTTTTAATTAGATTAAATGGTTTTAATGGTTTTAATTTAATTAAAATTATTTTGCTATATGAATTAAATCTCAACAAAGCTGTTATTTTTTTAAATTTATTTCACCTGTTTCTCTATTTTGAAGTGTTTGTTTTGATTTTTTTTACTTTTTTAATGTGGCTGCTAGAAAAAACTTAAGTTTCACCCTTTGGCTCACATTACATCTCTACTGGACAGCACTGTTCTAGAGAGCTTATGGTGGGGGGTGATACCCTGGATATTTTGAGCTCTCAGTTTTACCTCTATTTTTCTTACACTCTCCATTTTTCCCAATTTGCCAGCCTGCTTCAAGTATCACCATACTTCAGGGCCAACTTATACACTAAGATCAGTCATCTTAAAACACTAGATTCCCTTCTTCCCTGTGCTTTTACAGTTAGCACAGTGTTACTCTACCATAGTATGCAGACTGTTACTGGTCTAATAAGATAAGGAGTTTGTGTAAGAACATAAAATCAACTAAGACCCTAAGCACATTGCTCAGTTCATCGGACATTTTCTGATGAAGGGAGCAGTACACTAATTTACATTCTGGTGCAAGTTCTTTCTCCCCTTGCAGAGCACTGTTGTAGTAGACAACTGTCATATTCATGGCTGCCCATCATTTTTTAAGTCTTTCTACATTTAAAGACATTCCATTTTATGAGTTTCAGCTCTCCAAAACAGAACTCAAACACAAATTCCCAGTTTCCCTTGAAACCAGAATGCAAGCATGTCACCTAAGGCTCTCCAATCAGACACACACAAATGCAACTTCAGTTTAGAATTGAGCAGTGTAAAGAAACAAGGTTCCATTCTTGCTGCTGTAAGGCTTTCAGTAGCTTCCCAGTGGTTAGTCCAGTTCCTGAAGCAGAAACGGCATCAGTGAAAGCAGCAATAGCAACTGTATTAAAATGGAGCTTCATATGCTCCTCGGCACCAGAGAAAACAGTCTTTCCTGTCAGGCCAGTTCTGTGGCAGCTTTTAGCCATAGACAGCAGTGATTCTTAAAGTGTGCTTCTGAGACCACAGAATCACTATCACCTGGGAACATGTTAAAAGTGCAAATTCTCAGACCCCATCCCAGACCATCTTGATTCAGAAATTCTGGGTGTGGGGCCCAGAAACGCGCTTTAATAAGCTCTTGAGATGCATGCTAGAGTTTGAGAACCAGTGGCCTACCATCCACGTCTCCCTGCTTTTTCTCAATGCCTCTGTAAACTACTTCACAACTTCTCAAAAATTCCTTTTACGCTTAAACCAGACAAAATGTTTTGTTTGCAACAAAAAACACTGAAACATACCATATTGTCACTCCCATCACCATTCTCTTAAAAACTGCTCATAGAATGCTAGACACTGATTAAAAGAAAAAAAGAAAAAATCCACAAAGGTTAACATTGGTTAGAAGACAGAAAAAACTCTGGAAAATCTGCTTATAATCAACCCGGTTGATTTATTTCACGACAGTATGTGGAGGCACATACTGACTTCCTTCCGAAGAATACCAGTATGGAAAGGCGAGGGAGGGAGGAAGGGAGGGAGAGAAACTTCAGTTTCTTGAAACTGTAACAAACACTACCCAGCAGGGGTGATCAAGGCTAGCATCAACACAGATAACACTGATAAGCCACACTGATAGTATGCATTCTTGATATGATGCAACAAAAATGGCACTTTACCTGTGTGGTCTTCTCCCCAAAACCCACAATCCCAGTCTATTCATGAGAAAAACATCAGCCAGATCCCAACCGACGGACAGTCTACAAAATACCGGATCAGCGCTTCTTAAAACTGACTAGGTCAGAGAAACTGTCAGAGTCCAGAGGAGCCAAAGTACACATGGCGACTAAATGTAATGTGGTGTCTAGATAGTATCTAGAAACAGAAGAAGTTTATTAAGAAAAAACTAAGGCTTTGCAGCCAATTAAGCCAACCATGCTCTTTTCTCCATGGGGGCCCGGTGTGCAATGGCTGCAAACAGCAGGCTCCTCCGTAGTGTATGCAGCCTGTTGCCTGTATGAGTTGCCCTAAGAGACCCTGGAAACAGCCCTTTGCAGTGAACATTCGTGACTGGCGTGCTGTCCTCAATCTAGGCTCCAGACAGGTATGCATGGTGCCTTTGGAAAGCCCCAGGGCACAGTGGCCAGGGTCCACATAGGCCAAGTCATAATGTCCATCCACACCAAGCTGCAGAATAAGGAGCATGTGATTGAGGCCCTAGGCAGGGCCAAGCTGAAGTTCTCTGGCTGCCAGAAGATCCACATCTCCAAGAAGTGGGGATTTACTAAGTTCAATACAGATGAATTTGAAAATATGGTGGCAGAAAAGCGGCTCATCCCAGATGGCTGTGGGGTCAAATACATCCCTAATCATGGCCCCTGGACAAATAGCGGGCCCTGGACTCATGAGAGCCTTGGCACTGTCCCCTCCTTACTCACGCCCACCAATAAATTCTACTTTTCTGCCAAAAAAAAGAAAAAGAAAAAGCTAAGGAAATCTGAATAAAGCAGGGACTTTAGTTAGGAGTAATATGTCAATATTAGTTCATTAATTTTGACAAATGTCCTATACTAATACATCATGTTTTTTAACAAGGGATCCTGGATGTGCAGTATATGAAAACTCTGTCCTATCTTTCCAACTTTTCCATAAGTCTAAAACCATTTTAAAATAAAGTTTTTTTTTTTTTTAAGCTATTGGCTAAACTCTGAATGGTTTTCAAATTCAAATAAATGAATACCTTTACTAAAGCTGTTACCAGAGGTCTGGCACTGTTCATCACGCATCAAAGAGCAACTAGCCCTCCAGACACCATCCCCACCACACTGCTCCACCTCCAAAAGAGCCCTCAAGCTTAATAGAAATGAAAACCTCATGCATTTGAATGCTTAGCTGAGTAGACTTCCCTTCCCATCTGACTTACTATTATACTCTATAAGATCCAATTTTATCTCCTAACAAACTTAGTTTTGCTTAGAGTCAGAGAAAAAAGGATATAGAAAAAGCAGAGTTTACAGATTAGTGCAGTTCATTGAAAAGCCCCATAGGTGAGAAACAAATCCCACAGACTGGATGACTGGGTCACAGAGAAAAAAATAAAATAAAACAATGACTAGAACTGAACTGGAATTTGGTTACATTTAAAGTAAAAGCAAACAAACCTAATTTTTAAAAATTCAGCAGCACTGGGGAAGTCACCAGTATATAGCTTGGTCCCAAAACTAATGTTCATACTAAGTCATTGATAAAAGATTCAGTGATATCCAGTGTACTCTGTTTAAGAAAACAAGGTAAAAGTGTAATTTATTTCAGAAAAATTGCTAAGAAAAATACATGCTATGCCCCTAGCACCTAGAATGTGGTCTCTAAATACTGTTTCCCACAAAAAGTAACCAGGGTTCCTTGGAAAAAACTCTGATTCCCGGCCTGGGGCAGGAAGTATATAAGATAAACCTGGAACATCTTGGCACCTATTGGGGTTTTATCAAAGGACTTCCCTTTGTAACAAAGGAGTCAACTTAAAGGATTTAATGGCCAAAGATGAGATAATCTGAGCATCAGTGTGGTAGGTTGAACCAACCCTTCCCCTGAGATGTATTAATTTCCTAATCACCAAACGTATAAATATTACCTTATATGGTAAAAGATATAATTAAGTTAAGGATCTTGAAAAGAGTAGTTTATCCTGGACTATCCAGTGGGCCATAAATGCAATCATATCTACCCTTATAAGAAACAGGAGTTCCTCAGCAGACACAAAGAGGACTATGTAATGTGATGACAGAAGCAGAAACTGGAGTGAGGAAGCCAAGGAATGCCAGCAGCCACCAGAAGCAGGAAGAGGCAAGGAACAGATGCTCCCCTAGAACCTCTGGAAGGAGTACAGACCTGCTGACACCTGATTTCAGCCCAGTGATACTGATTCTGGACATCTGGCCTCCTCAACTGTGAGAGAATAAACTTCTGTTGTTTTAAGCCACCCAGTTATGGTAATTTGTTGGAGCAGCCATAGTAAACTAATATAAGCAGTAACTAAAATGAAGTAAAACATATACATTTTTGTTTGTTTGTTTTGCTGTACATGGGCCTCTCACTGTTGTGGCCTCTCCCATTGCGGAGCACAGGCTCCAGACGCGCAGGCTCAGCGGCCATGGCTCACAGGCCCAGCCGCTCCATGGCATGTGGGATCTTCCCGGACCGGGGCACGAACCCGTATCCCCTGCATCGGCAGGTGGACTCTCAACCACTGCGCCACCAGGGAAGCCCAAAACATATACATTATTTAAATCCATGTGTTCTTGATGATATACGAAGGAAAAAAAAAAAACCTGATTAGTTACCTTTGAAGGGTTCTAGGCAACCAAGGCATTATTTTGAAAACTGGTAACCAAAGAGAAAAGTAGTAAGCATTTATTCTCCATTTCCTACACCTTAAGCTAGCAAAATATACAAGGAGAATTTTTCTTTACAGAGCTATTCCAGCTAATAATTTGCTATTTTACAAATCCTAATGAATGGAGAAATCTAGGCAATGATCAACAGTCCTAACATCTCAAAGAGACAACCAGACATGAGCCTCCTGATAGAGGTACACTCTACCACCTTGAAATATTCTTTTAAAAAGCAAAACAAAACCACCACAAAAAAATATAACACATAAAACCATATTTCAAACAAACAAAAACCTGGACCTAATCACTACTTTAGATCAAACTACCAATTTAGAGGAAACACAGAAGGCAGAAGAATATGGAGACCAACACAACATGGAAGCAATTAGGAAATCCAAGGTGTGAACAATCTACAGGGTGGATTTCTTCAACAGACAAATTGTAAGGGAAAAAAACAGACAGGACACACCAACCAATCTTAAGGATGGCTTTTATTTTGGATCCTGATGTGAACAAACAATTTTTTTTTAAGTTGAGACAACTGAGGAAATTTCCACACTGACTAGATATTCAGAAACACTAAAGAATTACTGTTACTGTTTTTAGGTGATATAGTAGTATTGCATTTTATGTTTTAATACATACTAAAATGTTTCCAAACGAAATCATCTAATGTCTGAGTTTTGCTATTAAAAAATCCAGGAGGGCGGACCTCCCTGGTGGTGCAGTGGTTAAGAATCTGCCTGCCAATGGAGGGGACCCGTGTCCCACGTGCCACAGATCTTCCCGGACCAGGGATTCAACACAGGTCCCCTCCATTGGCAGGCAGATTCTTAACCACTGCAATGGAGGGGACCCGTGTTCAATCCCTAGTCCGGGAAGATCCCACATGCCACAGAGCAGCTAAGCCTGTGAGCCACAACTACTGGAGCCCGCAAGCCACAACTACTGAAGCCCACACGCCTAGAGCCCGTGCTCCACAACAAGAGAAGCCACCGCAATGAGAAGGCCGTGCACCGCAACAAAGAGTAGCCCCTGCTCAACCAACTAGAGAAAGCCCACGTGCAGCAACGAAGACCCAATGCACCCATAAGTAAATAAATTAATTAAAAAACAAAAAAACAACAACAAAAAAGATCCAGGAGGGAAGGTGGAGAGGTCTATAGGTGAAACAAGACCCGCCATGCATTGATAATCATGATATACAGAGAGAGGGTGG